TAGACTGAACCAGTAATAAGTTTTTTTCCAATGGGATGGCTATCTCAAATCCCTTACATAACATCAAGTAGGAGACCTACAAATATTTATTTATGTATTTATTTACTTAGTAATGAAATCAAATACCTATAGAAAGATCTCTATATAAATCCAGGTAGGCCATGATTCAGAGTCACCTATTAATGCCATTTACTGCCTTTGTCCTCTGGAAAAGTCATGAAGCTTCTCTAAACCTCTATCTCCTTGCTGTAAAATATAGATATTAGTAGTACCTACTTTATGCAAGGGTTTTGAGAGTTAAATGAAAAATGCACATATAGTACTAGTACAGTGTGTGGAAAATAAATACTTCCTACTATTGATGTTATTTGCTCCAAGTAAACATGAAAATAATCAGGATCCTGTTGATTTAGTGGCTAAATCTAACATGTTTGGTGCTAAAATATTACAGAATACAAACAGCAGAATAAAAAATAAATAGCTTCTATGATGTCCTCAAACTCTGGAGTCTAGTGACTCTGAGTTATACAATTAGGAACTATATTTTTAATATGTATCCAATCACAAACAATTTTAAGCACAATGCTAATGTATTTTTCAATTTTACCTTTTTATTTCATTTTATTTTATTTTGAGACTGAGTCTCACTCTCGCTCAGGCTGGAGTGCAGTGGTGCGACGTCTGCTCACTGCAAGGTCCCGGGTTCACTCCATTCTCCTGCCTCAGCCTCCCGAGTAGCTGGGACTACTGGCTCCCGCCACTAAGCCCGGCAATTTTTTTTTTCTTTGTATTTTTAGTAGAGATAGGATGGTCTCTATCTCCTGACCTCGTGATCCCCCTGCCTCGGCCTCCCAAAGTGCTGGGATTACAGGCGTGAGCCACCGTGCCCTGCTCAATTTTACCTTTTTTAAAAATAGATTCATAGCAGCAACCTGGTGGCACTCAAAAGCAATGAGACTCTAGTGTCAATTTCCTTAGTTTTACTTGAGCATCAATATGACAAATGCGGGGGCAACTGTTTTACTGATGTTGAGAAAATGAAAGTAAAATCACCATTGAAACAAATGGAAGTTGATGACTCCCCCATCATATTACATGAAATAATTGTTAAACATCATTTCTTTGGGGATGTGATTGTTCGAGTCCTATTGACATCAGTGAAGATGCCTTCGTTATCTGATTGTCCTGACTGTTCATGCAGTGAAACTTAGAAAGTTTTTCTGCCAGTACACAGCAGCAGTTTGATGAGTTTAATGCTTTTGCTCTTTCAAAACCAAGATTTTTTTTTTCTCTAAACGGCCAAAGGCAGTAATGCCACATTGCTATCCGATTATTTGGTTTAAGAATCAAACTAAACTCTTAAGTCCAGTTATATCTTTTTGACAGATTTTGAAACACACCACCAGAGCTACACTACAAACTGTCAGAAAAAGTTGTGTTTCAATTGTGTAGCCTCCCCAAGGCCTGGTTACCATTTGGTATCCTTAACTTACTTATTGAATTTTCACTCAAGTAGTCTGGGTTTCTGAGAATTGTCAAACCTCTCTATTAGCAAGAAAAGCTTATCTGTAAAATGGCAATGAAAACACGGCTCAGTCAGAATTAGGACAATTCACTAATTTTCACCTCTCACATGGAGTATATGTCATATTTGGACATAATCTTCAGTTGGCTCAGAATAATCAATGTCTGGGGAGTTCTTGGTGGAAGAACAGATAAAACAAAACTGATCTTTTTTTGTCAAATTTAAGTGTTTTGTTTCAAATCACTATGAATATTGCAAAATGGTTTTGCAGATTATATTAATAGGTTGTAGTAGTTTTCTAAACAGAGGAATCTTTTGGAATACATTATTTTCTTAAAAAACAGGACAGTAATTCTTTTACACACTTTCGACATTCTATTTTGCTGGTAAATATATATAGTGTGTGTATACACACATGGGGAATATATATAATACATATGGATATCCATACACACGTGTCTATGGATATATATATATGGATATATATGTGTGTGTACATATATATGGTTTCTTAAATTCTGTCCCAAATGTAATTTTTTATAATGATCAATTACTAATAGCCCTAGAATTCAAGTAATTTATGGATTATGGATATCCTAGATATAAATTAAACAGAGCAAGCCAAGCTGCCATATATGTGGCTAAATGTTTGCTTAAAAATAACTCTTTTTTAAACAGGATATCAGTAGATTTGCACTTGTAGAACTGCATTTTAGAGAATATATAGGATAATTATCTTATTATACAGATATGAGGGTACTGTACAAATGAAGGCAGTTAACTTCCCCATAGTCACAGCTATAGCATCAAAGCAACCATTATCCTCATTCCCAGTTCTGATGATTTGCCATTAGTTCATGCTACCAAACATTTATTTATTTTTTTAGAGACAGCACCTCGCTCCGTTGCCCAGGCTGGAGTGCAGTGGCGCAATCTGGGCCCACTGCAATGTCTGCCTTCCAGGTTCAAGTGATTCTCCTGCCTCAGCCTCCTGAGTTGCTGTGATTACAAGTGTGCGCACCAGCATGCCCAGCTAATTTTTGTATTTTTAACAAAGGCAGGATTTTGCCATGTTGTCCAGGCTGGTCTCGAACTCCTGTCCTCAAGTGATCCACCCATCTCAGCCTCCCAATATACTGGGATTACAGGCACGAGCCACAGCGCTGAGTGCCCAATCATTTATTAATTCCAACTTTGTCAACCCAAGCTGGTGTACACAGCAATGAAGTTAACAGAGAAGAGTTCTGGTAATCACTCACCAATTACCACTTTTCTAACACTCTCTCTACATTTTAAAATGTTTCAAAATTAATAGAATGAGAATTCAAAACAAATCTACAGTCTGAAACTTTTTTCTCTAAGAATAAAAAATGACTCTAGAAAAAAATTAATGTTCAAATATGACTTTCTTTCAAGTAATTTTGGTGGTAAATGTGGTAGAAAAGATAAAACTGAAAAGGAAAATATTTTGTACTTTAACAGTGGGGAGTTTAATTTTGGTAGGTGTAACCTTCTTTATTTTAACCTCAAATACACAACCAACTGGTAGAAGTTCCACAGTGTTACTATTTTTATATATTTGCATACATGGATATACCTAAAAATACATACATACAAACATATGCTGAAAAATAAGAGAAAAGACAAAAATTGTCCTTAGGAAATTTCATTTTTGTTCTGTATGTGAGTCCTTCCTTCGTATTATTTCTGTGTTAATTCTCAACTTCAAAGTTCTTTACATTTTGTTTAAAGATCATGACCTCTATACTTTTATACTCTTCTTCTCTCCTTTAAGTATGCAGATGTCTCTCCAAAATTCCACAACTTCACACTGTGGCCACTGGCAATAAAATGCAGTGATAGAAAAAAAAATTATCTGGAGTGCTATGTGGTTACCATATTAATACTTTCTGTCATTTTTATTCAGGTGCCTGAATGGTGTACTCTATAGCTTGTTTGATATTGAATGATAATATGACTATTCTAATTAAAATGTGTCAGTCCAAATAAACATTATGGAATATATAACAATTTTAAAGGAAAATTGAATAAGATGATTTGCTTTTCTGCCAGTTGCTGGGGTGTATGTTATTATTTAGATTGAAAAAAAAAAAAAAAAAAAAAAGCTTTTGCTATATTCTGATGATTTGGCATGAATTAGTGAAAACAACAGCCTTTTCAAGAAATTCTCCAGAACGTCTTTGGCTACTTTTGACCAATCATCTCAGAAAAGAAATGGAAGAGACAGAACAAAGGAAGAATAGTTGCTTAATATTTATTCTATGTCGGGCAGCATAATTTGAAATATGCAGTCTATAGCTCAACATTTACATTGATAGAAATGTAACATATGATGCATATACCCTAATGTCTATCAGTTTATTCTATCAGATTATTAGAGGATAGTGTGACACTATAAAATCAGCTGTTTTTTTTTGCCACATAAATATCCAAAATACTCAGCATCTCAAACTCAGATAATACATACTGGTTTCAAAGAGCTTTGCTGAGTAAAATGTACCTTGTTCTTTATAACTACCTGCTCTCAGTCTTCCTTCCCCTCCCTCCCTCTCACTTTAGATCAGCAGCATGGGTATTTTTTAAAAAGCAAATATATATATATATTTTTATATATATGTATATATTATATATGTCTATATACACACATATATAGAGATAGATAGAGATATAAAAAATAGCATTGACAGTGTCTATAACTCCTAATTATTTAGCTCTCTAATCTTTTGAGACAAACTTCATTTTTGCAAATGACTGGGTGGAACACTACGCAACTCCTCCTACTACTCTCTTGTTGTTAATTCCAACATGGTGTATGAACATATATCTGGGAAGTTTGCTTTCTAAATAGGTTACAGCAGAGCCGAAAATCTGCTCAACTGTGTCGGTGCCCTGCAGCAGTCCTCATTTATTTCACTTGAAAAGACAAATTGCATTTTTTGAAGTAGTGCAAAATATTAAGCCAAAAGAAGCAGAAGTTGATCTAGCATAAAGAATAAAAAACTGAAGCAAAAATTTGGAAATTATCTTCAGAGTTACCTGCTGGTGTGGTATAGGCAGGAACCCAGAAGAGAAATTGCTAAGAGGGTGCAGGGGAGTTTTGTATCCTTTAGGAGAGAACAGATGGGTTGAAGTTGGACTGTTTCGTGTCCGGGCCGTATCCAAGAACTACAAGACAATTAACATGAATTCCCAACACTTAGAAACTGTGCTTGAGGAAATGCTTGACAACCAAGGTCAGCACATAGGCCTAGAGAAAACAGCAGCATGGCTACCGGGTGGAACAGGGAGCATGTCCAGTGTGGAGTGAAAAGCTGTAGCACCCACTAAGCCATTTGTCCTGGGAGTTTCAATTATTAGCAGTTTCCTCTACATGGTTTGTCCTAAGCGAGGCTGGAAAAGAAGCACTTAGCTGACATGGTTGGTCATCTATTGAGTAGAAACAATAGCTTTTAACTTTTTTTTTTTTTTTTTTAAAGTCCCATCAGTTTAATAACAATAAAAAACCCCAAAAGTGGAAAACTGAGGGGGCAGGGGAAGAGACCCCTGGGCCAGGGGCACGAGGAGCCCTGCTCATGGCACCAGGCCTGGCCGCAGGGTCCCCCGGTATTGCTGTTGCTACGAGGTCGGGGGGCAGCGATTGTCCTGTGGGAGCCACCGTTCGCCTGGGTCGGGGACCCTCACTTCTTCTGGGGTGTGCTCAGCTTCTGCATGCCCCGGATCTTGTCCAGCAGGCCAGAGATGAAGGCCTCTGTGGGTTTGTAACAGTCAACCAGCAGCTCCTTGACCCTGGCAGCCCGGGCATCATCACTCTCCATGTCCAGGAGCTCATCCACATCAATCTCCAGTTCTGGGATCTCCTCTTCCAGGCAGTCGTAGAGGCGCGTAAGCTGCTCCAGGATCCACTCCTCTAGGTTGAGGCGCTTCCGTAGTTCCTTGCGGTCATACTTGACGGTGACCTTCCCTTGGCGCCTCACTGGGCCCTCATCGTCCGCGCCACTCGGGCCCTCTCCTGCGGTTCCGGGGGGGCTCTGAAAGTAGACGCGTGGTCCTGGGCCGCCACTGCCCAGCCCGGGGGCCGGGGCCGCCAACGCCGCGCCCCCAGCCGTGCCGCTGTCAGCCATGGCGGCCGCCGGGGCCACGTGCGCGCGTTGGGCCCCTCCCTGCGCCGCCGCCTCCGGGACGCCCGCCGGCTGGCTCGGGTTAGCTCGCCGGCTCAGCTCCGCGCGGCTCTGCGGCGAGGGCGGCGGCGGGGGCGCCCGGGGGCAGCTGCAGCATGCGGAGCCCCCGGGCCTGGCCTGGCCGCGCCCCCAGCTTTTAACTTTTTTTAATCAAAATTACTGTCTCAAATCCTTCTGTTGCTTCTGTGAAACTCACAGGAGGCCACCAGTATAATGTTGACAGTCTTTTTCCACCTCAACATTGAGTTCATTTGTCCTTCCTAGAAGTTTCCGTTCAGCAACGTGACCTGCGTTATTTCATGTCACACTAAGCTTCTTTCATTAGTTCTGATTCGTCAAGAATTCTTTTTTAAAAAATTAGCTAAGAGGTTTGTATACATCCACACATGAATGTGGGACTAATAAAAATTAGCATTTTTAATAGAAAACTATACTGAAGGAATGTCCCCAACTAAAGCAATAAGAGAGCGCAATGAAAATATACAAGTAATTACATGTATATTGGATAGAGTTATGTACTAAAATATGACTTGCACAGACTGCAGAGAAGAGAAAAAAATATCCTGATAGGTAATTTTTAATAGTAAAGATGAGGATAAAGTTGGTCACTAAAAAAAGCCTTTAAACTGGTTGATATCTTATGAACTCATATCTCACATACCAGGAAGAGACATTTAACGTGATTATGTTCTGAAAAGTCCCTTGGTTAGCCAATTGATCACACATTGAATCTAATAATTTTAGTCATACACACCCTACCAATAAAATAACACAAAAAAATTCTAACATCCAAATTAGTTTCACATTTTTTCTAACTAGTCTTTTGTTTCCACCCAAAAGTTTTAGTTAAGGTGTCAATAAGTCATTTCATAGTCTTAGTACATTTACTCCTCTATAGAAACGCAGCTACTAAAAAAATTTTGTTCGTTTGTTTTGCCAAGGTTTGAAACATTTGTAAGGTATTTATAGAGAGAAAAGTACCTATTTTTGTAAGCTAATAAACATAGCAGCTGCATCTTTAAGGTTTCATGTGGCACACATTTAATTCTTAAGTAAATGGTACCTTAGAACATAATAGGCTTCTATGACTAAGTAATTTTTAAAATTTTTGTTTCTCAGAGTATTCTAAAAGTTAAGTTCCAACCATTCATAAAATGTATTTGGATACTGCTTGCCATGGTTCAGGTCTTTAACGAATGTTTAATAAGATCTGATACTGAACTGACACAAACAAATTCTAACAATGGAAAATTAGAATCAGATACAGTAACATTCACTCATTGAGATTTGAGATGGATAACACCTGAGATGTTTCTTCTGTCCTATTTCTTATGCTTGAATTGTTGCCATAATTAACTGTTTTTATTGATATGCTCATTAATTTACTTCATTGCTTCTGAAAGAACAATAACACTCTGACAAAGTCATTAAAACCAGTTAATAGAACACTGAAGAGTTGATACATATCTCATCAAGTATCTGATGTATGAAGTGAGATGGGAAGTAATTTGCTAATTTATAATTTTTTATATTGTCTCTTCTTATTAGGCATTTTTAACATTACTTTTTTGCTTCCCTTTCTGTTTGTCAAGATCTGCTATTTTCTCCCTCCCGCACATTTCTTTATCTCTCTCTCTGTCTTTCTCTCTCTCATACACACACATCCCTCATTTGTAAAATAATCACAATTACTGTTTATACATCGACAAAACTGAATTTTTTCCCAAATATCAACTTTTTATTAGATCCTATCCCTTTGGGTCCTCATGAATTTTTGTGCATTAGGATCAATTTTGATACTCAAGGTATTTTTCTCTTGTCATTTTGACCAAAATAAAATGTTAATTCTACATTTTATTATATTCTTATCTCATGTAGTTCCTTAACTACTACCTTATAGTTTAAATAAGAGATTTAATGTGATATTTCAAAGTTTCTTCTATCCATCCAAATTATATGCAAAATGTTGATGTGATTATATGTGCATTATTATAAATTCCATCAGTCTCACAAAATTTTCAAAGCTTTTGGTTGTTGAACTTTTATGACTAGCTTACATAACAGGTAGGGACTGCTAACAAAATTATAAACTGAAATATCCCTCAATTGGCCAAGTAATCACATACTGAATCTAATAATTTTCATTATATATACTTATAAAAAGAAAACATACAGATAGTTATTCTAGCATCCTAAATAGCTTCATGCTACTTCTTATTGGTGTGTTTTTTTTTCTTGTTATAACTAGCAAAAAGTTGAAAACTACAGGTTAATCTTAAATACAGCAAATGTAGCTATCAATGATAGCAAGTATGCGAGAAATTATTGAGGATATGAATAATGAAGGAGATAATATACAGAAGGAAACAGAAATACTTGTCTACTTAATTTTGCTGAAAACTTTTTAATGATTTATATACCACCATATAAGCTTTTTTTGTTCATGTATGTACTATTAATGGTAGCCACATTTTTTAAAAATAGATGACAATCTGAGGGAGAATGTTATTTTTTCCATTAGAACTCAAGCTATTAAATCCATTATCCATTTTTGTTTCCCTGTCAATGCAATCTGTCTCTTTGCTTTGCCCCTATTAATGCCACATTGAAAAATTGAATCTGTTCCCTAAGTTAGTCTCTAACCTCTTTTATTATTTGAAAGAGAGTTTAGTGCTTGGAAACTTGCTCGGGGAAATAGAATTCCCTTCCTAAAATTTTCCATTGCACAAACATCAGTATTGCAAGCGTGTTCACTAGTGAGCCTCTGGCCTGCTTTTGAAGAATTACTGAACAAAATGACTGAGGTCAATATAGGGTTTCTCAGAGGCTCTGCTAATTCATATGTTATAGGACGCTGATCCCTTCAGACTAAACGAAAAGCTACTGCTTTCTAATGCCCACTGTATGTGGGGGAAGTGGAGGTGGGAGACAGGATGGGGAGAGATTGTCTGTTTGGTCTATGGGCTGTGTAGAACTAAAGAGAAAAAACTTAATAAACTCAATGCCAGTTTTAGATATCTTAAAATACATTTCTTTTTTGTCCCAAATGTATTTTTTTAATATTAAATTATTTTATATGTTTCTTGACAAAATTATTGCTTTTTATACATAATTTACAAACATTAGATGAGCTAGAATAATCTGAGTGCTCAGCTCCAACATGTACAGCGGATGAAGTAATCTAAAAAATAAATCAACATTTTTTCTCAGATGAATAAGAAAATAGACACATTAGCAGATTTCATCCACCTCAGCCACCCTAAACTCTGATTTCTGTCTCCTGGTCTGTTCAACTCACTGAGACCACTCTGGTCTGTGTTGGATTTCCCTGCCTACATTGTGAGTTACCAGGTTGGACTGATCCTCCAGGCAAAAAGCTGGGGTGTTTGTAAGACTCACAGCTCTTGAAAGGAACACTTTCCCACTTTTGCATTTCCTGCTCTCCAATGTCTAAAAACAGTATTTTCATATATTTTGTTTAGTTTTCTACATGTTTAAAATGGGAAAGTAAATCGATTCCCATCTACTCTCTCATGAAAAGAAGCAGAAATCCTTACCTTTGTTTTTGGATTGGAAAATTTTAAATTGAATTACATGGCCGAGCATGGTGGCTCACACCTGTAATCCCAGCACTTTGGGAGGCCAAGGCCGGCGGGTCACCTGAGGTCAGGAGTTTGAGACCAGCCTGACTAATGTGGCGAAACCCTATCCCTACTAAAAACACAAAATTTAGCTGGGCATGGTGGCCTGCGCCTGTTATCCCAGGTACTCAGGAGGCTGAGGCAGGAGAATCGCTTCAATCTGGTAGGAGGAGGTGGCAGTGAGTTGAGACCATGCCACTGCACTCCGGCCTAGGTGACATAGTGAGACTCTGTCTCAAAATAAACAAATAAATAGATAAATAAACAAACCTCTTATAAAAAAGTACACAAATCATAAATTCAAAGATTAATTTTCATAAAAGAAACAAACTCATGTATATAGCACCCCGAGTAAGAAATAAAATATTAACAACACCCCAAAGCCCCCATATGTCTCTTTTTAATCATTGTGAACACCGTGCTGACTTTTAATCCCATTGATGAGTTTTGCCTGTTTTTGAACTTTGTAGATAGTTCACACTCTCTTAGGCCTGACTTCTTTTGCTCAGCATTAGGTTTCTATGTTAACTGTGTTGTGGCCTATGACTCATTCATCCTATTGTTGTAGAATATTCTTCTCTATTCAATTTTAGATATACACCACAAAAATGTAGCAGTTTTCAGTTGGGCTTTTTTTATGTGGCTACAAACATTCCCATATGCTTCTTCAAAAACTTATATTCATATTCTAGGTATATATCCAGAAATTAAATTGTTGCATTACTGGTTCGTTTAACGAATTTCTACTGCAAAATAATTATGTGGAGTAATTTTTCTATAAGTCCACTAACAATGTATTATACTTCCATTTGATCCACATCCTCAGTAACACAAGGTATTTTCAGTTTTTTTCAATTGTTAGATATTTGGGTAAATGTGTGTTAGCATTGTAGGGTTGTATTAAATTCTATTTTCCTGATGATGATTAAAGTTTAGCACCATTTTCTTTTTTTAAATTTTACTTTAAGTTCCGGGAAACATGTACCATACGTGCAGGTTTGTTACATAGGTATACATGTGCCATGGTGGTTTGCTGCTCCCATCAACCCATCATCTACATTAGCTATTTCTCCTAATGCCAACCCTCCCCTTGTACCCCACTCCCCAACAGGCCCCAGTGTGTGATGTTCCCCTCTCTGTGTCCATGTGTTCTCATTGTTCAACTCTCACTTATGAGTGAGAACATGCAGTGTTTGGTCTTCTGTTTTTGTGTTAGTTTGCTGAGAATGATGGTTTCCTGCTTCATCCATGTCCCTGCAAAAGACATGAACTCATTCTTTTTTATGGCTGCATAGTATTCCATGGGGTATATGTGCCACATTTTCTTTATGTAGTCTGTCATTGATGGGCATTTGGGTTGGTTCCAAGTCTTTGCTATTGTAAATAGTGCTGCAATAAACATACATGTGCATGTGTCTTTAGAGTAGAATGATTTATAATCCTTTGGGTATAAACCCAGTAATGGGATGGCTGGGTCAAATGGT